TCTGGACAAACTGTCACACACTCCTGCAGGGCCCACTTGACATCTCTCACTGCTGGTCAGCGAGTAGACTCAATGGCTGCTGCTGGGAAAAGGCTAAGGGTCTGTTGTTTTCTGCATCTCTGGGGAGATCTACAGAGTAAAGGAAGCCCCAGGCTTCACTATTAAACCCTAGTAGTCGCTATTAAGGAAAGTCAAATGGAAATTGTGTTTTACTCCTGTTTGAAAAGTCCAAGGGCATTTGCATGCAGTTCATTATCACTTTCTTCGGCCTTGCCATCCTTTGTCAACTAGGTTTCTCTACAGCTTACCTGGGGCTGGAACCCAGTCCCAGAATAGACCCCCACGCACTCCCAACACTGGGTAGAAGTTCTCCTTTTCAGGCCCATCTTGAGGACAGCAGGCAGTAGTGGTCACAGAACTAGAGATTGTGGACCAGACTCGGTCTGGGATGACTAGAAGGTGGGCAGCCTAAGGCAAGGAAGGGAAAGAAGCCAGCAGCAGTGACACAGCTGCCCCACCAGCAATCTGGAGCAATCAGGAAAGGATGGTTATTCAGTAAGGGCAGTGGGAAGAGCTCAGGCTTCATATCCTCACTCTGTCTCCTCTGGACCTGTTTCTTAGCCACACCGCAATCTGAATAGGTCATTAAGACCTGTGTTTCCCATCCCACCTTGTGGGAACCCAAGTTCTAGTTCTCCACTTGTTAGAAGACTACCTCACAAGGAGGGCATGGTGGCACTCCTCCTGTAATCCCAGAACTAGGGAGTCTGAGGAGGACTGTGACTTTGAGGTCAGTCTGAGCTATATAGACATTGTGTCAAAAAAGGAAAACCAAGGAAATTAATCTGATCAAGTTTTGGTATGTATTTAGGAATTTGGAGACTATAATACAATGTTTAAAGACATGATATACTTGCAACAAGCAAATCCTGAAGTGAGGAGATTTTACACACCAGTTGCTCTAATCTCTTCCATAAATGAGCAAAGAACGAGGGCAAAGGGAGCAACACAGAGTGTGAAAGGGAAGAACCGTCATTGATATGTAAAGAGCAACCTCTCAAATGCAGTGTTAGTGAAAGACCCCAGCCTCACACTAAGTTAAACATAGCTAACGCCATTTTGTGAGACACCACTGTTTTATAAAACTCTGAAGGCCAGATGAGAAACTGGAAAATTACTGAAAAATCCTAGCTGTGTCACCCACTTGGGATATCTGTGGTCAGGCTGCCCCAGTCATACTAAAAACAGTTTGTGTTAATCACTCTCATAGATATCTGTGAGACTGTTTCAGCTAAGATAGGGAAAAACAAAATAACAGGTGGCGGGCCACGTCAAGGGGTCATCCTACCCCCCTTGACCACCCAGTTCCTGGAATCTGGGTGCCCCTGCCAAACTTTGACACAAATTGTAGTCTCGTGTAAACGTACCAATCAGCCCCCTGTAACCATGCCCTCTCGCTTCTGTACCAGTGCTTCTGCTCTAAAACCCTATAAAAACCCCAGTTTTTCCCCAAGGAGGCGCGCAAGGTCCTCCCGAGTGACCTTGCTGCCCCAAGTACTCGTGAATCAAAATAAAAGCCTCTTGCTGTTTGCATCCAAAGGGACTCCTTGTTCTTTGGGAGGGGGTCTCTCTGACGGAAGATACCCTCTGGGGATCTTTCAGTTAGGATAATGCCTTGATTCTGATTTGAACACACTGTAAAGGGGTTTTTTTTTGCGGGGGGGGGACTACTCTCAAACTAAAGTATGAGCTATATTAAGGCACTGTTGCTGACAATGATGGTTTGATGTATGCTAATGGTATCATGGTTATAATCAAAATGGAAGCGTAAAAAGGAGGATGCCTGAGAAGGCTACCTGGAGGAAAATGGAATCTTTATCCATTAGAGATACGCATTAAGATGCTTCTAAATGAAGAGATTTAAGATTTGCTTAAAATACTTCTGTGATTAAAGGAGGAGGCATAAAAATAAAAAGCACAATTAAAAAAAGAGAAAGAGAGAGAGAAGCAGGAAGATCAGGGGTTCCTGGCCAGATAGAGAGAAAGGAAAAGACAAAAATAGATTGCTCTGGAAGTTTAGTTAAGTGCCTGTACACTTCTTTGTGTGTGTATGTGTTTTAAATATTCCTAAGCTAAAATCTGGGAAGAAAAAAAAAAAACCGTTCAGAGAGGAATCTTCTTATATATAGCTCAGGCTGGCCTCTAACTCACTGTGTAACACAAGCTGGCCTGGACTCATGATCCTCCTGCCTCAGCATCCTGAGTGCTGAGTGGCATGAGACTGCACATCTGAGAAGACAAAATACTGAATAAGGTCACACAGACTATTGATTTTATCACTCTCGTCCCTCCTCTAGGTTCAGCGTGTTTGCACCACTCCATATTTGATCAGGAAATTCGGAGACTGAATGGAAAAAAGAAAAACGAAAAGAAAAGGAACATGCCTGTTTTTGGGTATGGTGGAGGAGAAAGCTTATTATAGATATGTGGGAGAGCACAGCCAGAGGCAGACACATCTAAGAGAGTTCAGAGTGGTCATAACACTGAACATTGTGGAGAAGGGGGAAGAGAAGGAAGAAAGGGCAGCCAACTACACCAGCCAGGAGGCCAAAGATGCAAAAGAGAAGAAGGGGAGGGTAACCAAAATGTCTGACTATATAGAGAAGAGCCTCTGAGGGAAGGGCAGCCCAGCCCCTGGGCTGGAAAGTTCAGGGCAGAGGGCATAGTATGGCAGCCATACCCTGCAACACTGAGGAATGCTGGGAAATCCTGGAGACCAGGTCTGCTCTGCTATGTTAAATAGGTTCCTGAGCCACTTGTTCCAAGTTTGAAACTTAATCTAGATCATGTTTCCTTGTCTTTACACCACCTCCAGTATACAGTCCGTTGGCTAATTTTATTGGTCCCACCTCCAGAAGAGTTCCATAACTGGACTACTTTTCACAGCCTAGTTTAAGGGACCCTCAGGACCTGGAAACAGCCTAGCTTAAGTGACCCTCAGGACCTGCAAAAACCTCTAACATCCCTCTCCTTGTGTCTGCTCCTATCCCTCGTTTGTTCCCTATAGGGAAGTAATTGTATCATTCCCCGTCCTTGCCTAGAGCTCTTAATCCTCCAAATTTTTTTTTCCTCAGTGGTGAAGACCAAACCCAGTTCTTGATAGAGTTTAGGTAAATATTCCATCTCTAAACTACATCCAAGCCCAAGGTTCTATTTAAGGGTGAATTAAATATTCACCCCAGAGATCCCTGGGAAAAATACTGAGAAAGCAGTTTGATATCTGGGTCTATCTAGCTCAAGAATTTATTTGGGAGTTTGCAGCCTGTAGTAAAAGCTTGTGAAGAAAGGGAAACACTAAGGAGAAAATATAATATCCAGTATTTGGGACTGAGGGTAGAGGAAAGGAGAGGATCTTTGAAAACATACCTAAGGAGCCAAGCCAGCCCAACTCAGTGACTTGGAGTCTGAGTTGCCTGGAAGTGGCGACCTAGAAGATCTAGCGCAATCTGTAACCGAATCAGAGAGGTGACCTTGGACAAAGAAGAAAGGAAAAGAAAATGCCGACAGGTCTTCTGTAACTAATGAAGACCTGGAATTGGTCCTGGGGAACAACTATTTGAGCCAGATTCTTCAGTAAGCCTAATCTGCATAATTAACATAAACTAACTGACCCTCTCCTCCCTATTCCCCTCCCCTTCCTGTTTTTTTTTTTTACCCCCACTCCTCCCCTACTTCCCTTGCTTCGAATTCTTTTTATTTTACTGAATTCTTTTTATTTTATTTTTAAAAATAATTTATTTAATTTACGGGTATGAGTGTTTTGCCTGCAAGTATGTCTAAGCACCACGGGTGTGCCTGGTGCCTGCGGAGTTCTGAAGACTCTTAATTCCCTGTAACTGGAGTAACACAAGTGAGCTACCTTGTGGGTAGTGGCTGGGAACCGAACCCTGGTTCTATTGAAGAGCAGCAAATGCTATTAAGTGCTGAGCGTTCTCTCCGGCCCTGGTCTCCATTCTACGGCCTCCACTTAGGTCTTTAAGTAACCCTGGCTGGTGTCAAAGTTAGTAAGGCTCACTGCCTCTACCTCCGGAGTGCCGGAATTAAGAGCTAGCACAGCCATTCCTTGCTCGGACCTTTTATCCTAACCGTCCATCTACAAACGACTATCGGAGGTCCATGTTGACAATAACCAAATCTAACAGCTACGGTGGCTAAATTTCTCGTTCACGTCTAGTAATTCATGTCCTATGCTTCAAGAGTGTTTTTATTTCCTGATACTTAAAATTTATTTGTTTAAATTTTGGAATTAAAAACTGAGAATTTTGAGACAGTCTCTAATGACGCAATTCCTTCCTGACCTTCTAAAAACATCACTCGCTCCTTTCCTTCTCGGCCCTCCCTCTCCCCGGATCTCGTGCCTCCGGCAGGAAGTCTCGCGAGAGGTCGAGGTCTCATGAATTCTCCCAGTAGCCCTCGCGCTTCCTCTTCCTGAAAGCGGCCAGAGGTGAGTGTTACTCTGCTTCGTGCTCTCGTGGCGAATCCGCCGCCATCGTGGTTTCGGGGCTGCTTGCGTCGCGGCCCCCGGCATCTGAGCTCTCAGGGCTACGGGTCCTCGCCACAGGCGGCCGCTCTCTGTGCGGAGGGGCGCAAGGGGCGGATATGGGGGCCAGGGCCCGGCCGCTGGCGGAGGAGACGGGCGCGTTAGTGGCGGTGATGCAGGAAAGTGCCCGCGAGAGTAAAGCCGGGTGCAGACTTCAGTCATTTGGGCTCAGTGCTGCTCCTTGGGCGCATCAGGACGTGGGGTATGTGGGGAGCCGCGAGGTCGGGGGTGAAGGAGGGATCTGCAGAGGGCTGGGGTTGGCTTCGCCATGCCAGTCCTGAGTCCCAGTGTAGAGGCATGGGGTTGCGGGAGAACAGCCAGACCCGAATGGAAGGCCTTTAGTCCCAGCACTGGGAAGGCACGCTGGCCTACATAGAGAAACCCTGATTGAAGAAGGTGGCTGCGATGATGATGTTTCTTAGGACACCTTTCGATTAATCGTGAAAGCAATTATTCTCTGAGCAGCAGTTGGTATGCTTAATTAAACTCCTTGGTAACTAGCTGGCTGTTAATAGGTGTTATGTTCACAGGTGATCCTTGAAGATGGTTCGCTACTCTCTTGATCCAGAAAATCCTACGAAATGTAAGTGACTAAAAAGGACATGGTTCTGTTTCGATTTGTTTTGTTTTTGGAATGTGCGTAACGAAACAAACAACTTTCCTTTTATGTTTTTGTAGCATGCAAATCAAGAGGTTCAAATCTTCGTGTTCACTTTAAGGTAAGGGAGTTGTGGTCATGTTAACGATTGTCGTTTGAAAGGTAGCTGCCGTGATGACTTACTTAGGACACCTTTGGATTTACCGTGAAAATAAATACGTTCTGAGCAGCCACTTTTTATTTATATACATATATATGTTGGTCGTTGGGTGTGTGAATGCTTGATAACATTGTGTGACCCTGTATATAATAACAGGGTGATGACCTTGGGCATTTTACTGCGTATTTATCTCCCAACTCTAACATTGGAAGATCAACACTTAACCAAAACTTTCTGGCTTATGTTAGAACACCCGGGAAACCGCCCAGGCCATCAAGGGTATGCATATCCGAAAAGCCACCAAGTATCTGAAAGATGTCACTTTAAAGAAGCAGTGTGTGCCATTCCGGCGGTATAACGGTGGAGTCGGGAGGTGTGCCCAGGTGAGAAGTTAAATAGGGTGGCGTATGGGAGCTAAAGTCTCTTATGGTTTGGTTGCTGTGATGATGGATCTTAGGACACCTTTGGATTAACCATGAAATAAAACATGTTCTGAGCAACCTTGCTGTCAGCCACCATCTTTTTTAATTGGGGGTCTAATACGGATTTATCAGGGAAAGTAACAAAACTGTTTACCCTTTGTTCTTTCAGGCCAAACAGTGGGGCTGGACTCAAGGTCGGTGGCCAAAAAAGAGTGCTGAATTTTTGCTGCATATGCTTAAAAATGCAGAGAGTAATGCTGAACTTAAGGTACCTAAGCCATTACCATGTTATTTGTATATCTTGGAAATTATTGCTCGGGTGTGTGTGTATCCTCAGTAATATTTTTTGATATACTGGAAAATGTATACACTGTTCTGTATGCATGTATACCTGCACACCAGAAGAGGGTGCCAGAGATTATTATTGAGGGTTGGGAGCCACCATGGTTACTGGGAATTGAACTCAGGACCTCTGGAGGAGCAGCCAGAGCTCTTTACCTCTGAGCCATCATCTCTCCAGCCCCCAGAGCAACTTTTGTCTTGTACTTGTACCTCGAGCACTACAGAATCTTGCCTAAAGGTGTTCAGAAGCATTATATGCTGTGTCCTAATGGTTTCCTCCATCCCTAGTTCTATTAAAAACACCACACCCCAAACAAATCTTTTTCTTAGCCTGGGGTTTATATATTGATGAGTGCAGATCAGGGTGTGGCACACCAAAAAATACTTTCACCTTGTGCCATTTGTCTTTTGAATAATGTTAGACCTAGTGGTGGTATAGTTTGTTATAAAGGAAATGTTGAGTTTTAGGAGTTTGGGATAGGTAACTGTGTCTAGAGGTAGGATAATCATTACTTCTTCCCACTTGGAAATAATTATACATGGTTTCCTTTGCAATAAGGTTATACCTTTTAAAAAGAAAAGTAGTATGTACTGTGAGAGGGAAGGAGAATGGGCATCCTTCTTACCTGGGTTTACTTAATACAATGAGATAGCTTGCCATGTTGATTAAAGGTGGTACACACCTTTAATCCCAGACAGAGGCAGGTGGATCTCTGAGTTCAAGGTCAATACAAAATATCCAGGACAACCAGAGCGCTGTTACAGAAGCCCTGTCTCAAAAAACTTATACTAGTACCTAAAACACAAAGTATAACATAGTGCACTTTGGCAATAGAAACAGTAATTCAAAGTAATCCACATTAGAAATTGGGATACTGAAGATAAAACAGATACTTAGCTTAATTACTCTTCCTTTTCCAGGGTTTAGATGTAGATTCTCTAGTCATTGAACATATCCAGGTGAACAAGGCACCTAAGATGCGCCGTCGAACTTACAGAGCTCATGGCCGGATTAACCCATACATGAGCTCCCCCTGCCACATTGAGATGATCCTCACTGAAAAGGAACAAATTGTTCCAAAGCCAGAAGAGGAGGTTGCACAGAAGAAAAAAGTAAGTCACTCAGTTTTGCTGGTGTGAACTACTAGGAACATCGGTGGTTGCTGTGGAGACTATCTTTGGACACACACAGCCATGAAAGGAGACTATTGTGGCCAGCCTTTTACCCTCTTCAGTGCACTTTCTATTAGAGTTTCCTGTGGCCCAGCTAGGCATTTGGTTTATTAGGACACTTCCTCTCATTTGGCTCCTAAGATTTTTAACGTGGGTTTCTTCTAGACTGGAAACTTAAATTGTCCCTTTCTTTGTCTTTTTAGATATCTCAGAAGAAACTGAAGAAACAAAAGCTGATGGCCCGGGAATAATAAATTCAGCATAAAATAAATGCAGATAAAAGTAAAGGTCTTCTGGTGGTCTTTGTTTATAAGCAGATTGCTAGGATTGCTCATTTACCTGTTAGATAAATGAGCCCCATTGGGAAAGGTGTGGTTTTAGTCAAGCAGTGAAACAGATTGACACCCACTTGACCAAGCAGTGTAAAAATGACTGTCTAGCACTGTTGAATTAGCATTTACTGGGGAACTGATAGAAGGCTGGGTATAAGATCTGACCAGAACTATTGAGTATATGATAAGCCTGCTGGGAGGAGAAGGAATTCTTTGCAGTTGATCATAATTAAGCTAGGGTGTAGCATGGGGTGGTGCAGATGATTTGTTAGAGGGCAGTCAGTACCCAAATATCATCTGGCACTTGGAGGCCAGTACTGCATTGGCCTAATAGTAATACATAGGTTTTTCAAGTCAAGCATCCACTCACTGAAAACTTTGTAGTTGCTACAGCACCCCTAAACTATTCTCTGTATACATTTGCCTACTTAGGACATTTCAAGATATGGTAGTATGTGTAGCCCTTTGCTAGTGTTTTCGTGAAGGCTTTTTTTTTTTTTTTTTTTTTTTTCAAAGGCCAGTAGTACTGAAGGAATGATTCAGGGTGAAGGTGCCAAGCCTATAGGTCCAGGCCCACATGGTGGAAAAAGCACCATACTTCCGTAAATTCTGTGACTATCACCCATGTGTTGCCCCACGCACATGGATGTGTTTTTATCACATTTCTGGGCAGCAACAATACTGGTTCCTCTGTGAACCTTTGGTGTACAGGGCTCTGTAGGAAGTTCGGTTTCTTGGGCCTACATACCAGATCTCTCTAGATAGCAGTGAACCACGTTTGGTTGCTGGGAATTGAACTCAGAACCTTTGGAAGGTCAGACAGTGCTCTTTAACGCTGAGCCATTTCTCCAGCGCCTGATACCCCAAATTTTAAGGTAACCTCAGTAATGTTTGTGTCAGACATTGCCGAAAAGGCCTTGGGTTTCAACCAGCACTAAGTGGGGTTTCCACATTCACAACCTTGCCAACAGACCAGTCCACTGTAGTGCTTATCGTAAAATGGGCAGCGGAAAACAACCCAAGCCCTAGTTTCTAGTTAGCTCCACATTTACCCCCTTGAGTAAAGTTTTGGAAGTCAGCTAGGCGTTGGAGTGCACAACCATAATCACATACTCCGACTTCAAATCAGTCTGATCGTCATGTGAAGACCGCAAAAAATAATCTGGTTTAGCGAATCTGAGCCTGGCAACACCCTATTATGTGCCGGGACCTTTCCTATTGCTGGTGAGGTCCAGGCAGGCCTTACTCCAAATTCGCGGCTCTGGGGCAGCCCAGCACAGGTTTTCCCCCTTGAATCAAAAGCCGGTCAAGTGTCTGGGAAATTGGTTTCCGCGCACAGCGCCTCCCTTCCCTACCCGGATAGGGCGCGCGCGAGGCTTTAGCTATGGCGCAACCCCGGAACTGCGGGGTGCTCTGTATACGACACCATTACGTGCTGTGCGTCTCTTGGCTGGCGTACACGCCTTTGTCAGCCCCTTGACATGCTATTGGCTGTTGGCAGCCCGGCCTCCCGGAAGTGCGGACATTACCCCGGGCGTCCTGGTGCTGGTGAGTGAGGTTTGGGGGGTTAGAGCTCGCAAGGGGGGGTGTCTGCCTGCGGCGCTCGGCGTCCCCGGACGGTGCTGTGCAGTGCAGTGCGCCAGTGGCCCCGCATCTCGGCACCGTTCTTCGTCTGTCACCCTCGGTGTCTCCCTCCTTGCTTCCGCCACGGTTTGGCTCTCGTCTTTGGACCCATCACAAAAGAGGCAGAGGCAAGGCTCCATAGTGAGAGCTTGTGAAATGATGTAGTTATTGGCACTGGTTCTTGGGTTTTATTTAGAGCATAATGTGTACGAATTTTAAAACTACTAACTGCAAGTAGAATTTAAAATATAAGATAAGGACAGGGTGTTGGTAGCATTTTAATCCCAGCAATCGGGAGGCAGACGCTGGCGAAATCTCTGTTAGTTCGAGGCCATCCTGCGACAGAGCGAGTTCGGGACAGTCAGGGCTGCACAGAGAGACAGAGAAAGAAAGTTGGATGGGTAGGAAAGGGGCCTGAAAAAAAGTCGTAAAATTCTCAAAGATCTTTTTTTTTAATTGGGGAAAAGGTTTTTAAAAATTGTTTTGTTTGATTTTTAATTTTTATTAATTACAATTTATTCACTTTGTATCACCCCTGTAGCTCCCTCCTCCCCGTTTTGTTTTGTTTTCTGACAAGATATTGTGTAGTCAGGCTGGCCTAAAACTCAGATAACCCCTCCTTCCCCTCCCAAGGGCCGGATTAAAGGCATGAGCTACCATTCCCAGCTGGTTGAGCACAGGCTATCACTTTTGTTAGTGCTCATTCACCAAGCTACATCCCCAGCCCCTGCCCCACCACCTCTAACGAAGTTTTGTTTTTTTCATTTTGAGGTAGGATTTTCCTAACTCATCTATGCTGCCCTTTTCATTAGCCTACACAATAGTTGGATCACAAGCCTGGCCTGCCTGTTTTGTTGTATTACGTTTCTGTTTTGTGCTATAGTCTCACTGTCCAGTGCACACGGCATTCTCGTAAGCTGCGTGCTATCTCTGTTCTCAGATTCTCATGAGGGAATTAAAGCACAGTCAAGTAATTTTCCCTAGAAACACCCTTCAGAAAGTGAGGGCTCAGATCCAGGCTGCCTCACCGTGAAATCTGTGAAGTGAGCCAGGCGAAGTGGATCAGGCCTGTAATCCCGCACTCTGGGAGGCAGAGGCAGGCAGCTCTCTGTGAGTTCCACAGTCAAACCATGTAACTTATGGAATTCTAAAAATTAGAAAATTTTAAATCCTCTTATTGTTCTGAAACTATTTGTTTATTTATTTTGATTTTTTGAGACAAGGTTTCTCTGTGTATCCTTGGCTGTCCTGGAACTTGCTTTGTAGACCAGGCTGGCCTCGAACTCACAGAGATCAGCCTGCCCCTGCCTCCCAAGTGCTGCAACTAAAGGAGGGCGGCACCAAGCCCAGCTCTGAAACTTCTTAAGGCCTCTGTGCTGGTTATTTTAACTATCACTTGATACAGCCTAGAACTACCTGGGAAATGAGTTTTAATGAGAAATGAGCCAGATCATTTGGCTTTGAGCAGGTCTGTAAGGGGTTGTCTGATTGTTGAAGGATGTTGGAAGACCTAACCCCTTTGGGCACCACAATTCCATAGGAGGAGGTCCTGGCAATGTAAGGGGAGAAAGCTAGCCGAGAGCGAGCAAGCAAGCAAGCAAGGATCTTTCTCTCTGCTGATTGTAGGTGTCATGTTTTCAGTTTCTACCTCAACTTTCCCACAGTAATGGACTGTCCTGGAACTGTGAAGTGAAACCCTTCCCTGAATTGTTTTTTGTTGGAATGTTTATTACAGCAACAGAAATGAAATTAGAATAATTCTTTATCTTGAAATCCTAGTCCTAAGAGAATTATTTAGTAAATTTAAGAGTATTTTTTATTTAATAGAATAAGTGTTGTCTCTTTTTGACTTTCAGAATCAAATTCACCAAGGGTTGGCTGTGTTGGGGCATGGCTTTAACTCCAGAACTGGAGAGGCAGAGGAAGGCCCGATCCACCTAGAGAGTCCCAGCCAGCTGGGGCTCCTTGGTGAGAGACTGTCTAAAATAGAAAAAGAATATTAGAAGTACTAACTTTTAGAAATAGACAATTTACTTACAGGATAATTCTTACCTTAGGGTTATTGTTGCTGTGATGAAGCACTGTGAGCAAAGCAATTTGGGAAGAAAAGGTTTATTTTTATTTGACCTACACTTCCACAGCACAATTCATCATTGAAGGAAGTCAGGATAGGAACTCCAACAGGGCAGGAACAGAGCTGATGCAGAGGCCTCCTCATGGCTTGCCCAGCCTACTTTTTTAGAGAACACAGGACCTTCAGCTGAGGGATGGCACTATCCACAATGGGCCGGGCCCTCACCCCATCAGTCACTAAGAAAATGGTATGCAGGCTTGCCTACAGCCTGGTCTTTTTCTTTCTTTCTGCCTTCTTCCTTTCTTTCTTCCTTCCTTCCTTTCTTTCTTTCTTTTCTTTTCTTTCTTACTGTCTTTGTCTTTCGGTCTTTTTTTCTCTCTCTCCCTCTCCCTCTCTCTCTCTATTGTGTTTCACTATGTAACTGGCAGTCCTGGAATTCACTGTGTAGACCAGGCTGGCCTTGAACTCTAGGAAGTACACCTGCGTCTGCCTCCCCAAGTGCTGAGATTAAAAGCATGTGTCACTATGCTTGGCTGGAGGAATTTTCTTAATTGAAGTTTCCTTAAATGATTTTAGCTTGTGTCAAGCTGACATAAAACTAGCACAATACCGAATAAAATGTTGATTATTAACCATCACACCTTCAGTTATATCCTTAAATGGAATGCAGAATTGCGGGACCGCAGAAATGGCTCAGAGGTTAAGAGCCAAAGGCCCTGGTTCATATCCCAGCTCCCCCATGGCTCACTTCTGGACCACACAAGCACTGCATGCTTATACATGCATGCAAAACATCAACTAAACTCATAAAATAAATAAGTAAATCTTTAAAAATAAAAGAAAGATGATGTACATTGTGGCACCAGTAATTCAGCACTTGGGTGACTTGAGCAAGAGGAGTTTTAGTTTCAAGACAGCCTAGGCCATTCTTTTTCTCTTTTCTTCCTTTCTTCTTTTTCTTCTTGTTCTTCTTTTTTTTTTTCTTTTTCTCTTTTTTGGTTTTTCAAGGTAGGGTTTCTCTGTGTAGCCTTAGCTGTCCTGGACTCACTATGTAGACCAGGGTGGCCTCAAACTCACATTGATCTGCCTCCCAAGTGCTAGGATTAAAGGCATGTGCTTGGGGCTGGAAAGATGGCTTAGAGGTTAAGAACACTGACTGCCCTTCCAGAGGTCCTGAGTTCAATTCCCAGCACCCACATGGTGGCTCACAACCATCTATAATGAGATCTGGTTCCTTCTTCTGGCCTGCAGGCAAAACACTATATACATAATAAATAAATAACTCATTAAAAAAATAAATAAATAAATAAAGGCATGTGCCACCACTGCCCAGCCCAGTGGCTTATTGTTAATTGTCAATTCCTTATAAAAGTCACACAAAGTATACCCTATATTTGAGTATAAGTAATGTTTTTCTTTTATTATTACTATTTTTTACCATAATGATTATTTAAACAAAACAAAAATCCTTCTCACTTTGTAGCCCTGGCTGTCCTGGAACTCCCTCGGTAGACCAGGCTGGCCTCCAACTCATAGACATCAGATGCTGGAATTAAGGACAGGTACCGCCATGCCTGACTATAATTTTTTTTTTTTTTTTTTTTTTTTACTCTATAGAGCATCCAGTCTTTCTGTTGATTTTTTTTTATTATTATTACTATTCCATTATTACCACTTATTTGTTTGCTCATTTATTTATTTATTTATTCATTTATTGATTTGGTGTATGTGTGCATAAAGAGGGAGCACTCCACTGAGCTGTGTGGAGGTCAGAGGACAACTTACAGGGGTCTGTTTTCTCTACCATTTGGGTCCTAATGGCAGGCACCTTGACCCACTAAACTATCTCACTGGCCCCTTCCTGGTTCTTTGAGCAATAAATGAGTGGGTATGCTATGTGAAGTACCTAGCACATACTGTCCATATTTTTAAAGTTCTTTATTGCATTGTTATTTATCGTGTGGGCATACCCGTGCCATGGCGTGTTGTGGACTGAGTCGGTTCTGTCTTCTCAGTGTGTTGGTCCTAGGTTGGTTGTTAAGCTAGGAGGCACCGTTAGGCACTGTCTTTTATCATGAAATCTGTGAGAAAGCCACAGAGATTGGAAAGGATTGGATGCTGGCATCTCTGTGTTTGCTCACCTGTTCCTTTACTTTGCAGACAGCAGCATTTCAGTTTAGAAACCTTTGCTCTCAGCAAATATATTCATAGACCCCAACCCATGGAAACAATCCTTTCCACAAAGTCTTTCTGTCACTAATCAATTATCTCATTCCCCCCTCTCCCCCGTTTGTGTCAGCAGCTTAGGAACTCAAGCCTGGGAAGATGGTGTGCATTCCTTGTATTGTCATTCCAGTTCTGCTCTGGATCTTCAAAAAATTCCTGGAGCCATACCTGTACCCTCTATTTTCCCCTGTTGTCAGCCGTATATGGCCCAAAAAAGCTGTGCGCGAATCCAACAATAAAAATATAGGCAAAGTAGACTGCAAGGTAAGACCCTTCAAATGCCCAAGGCAGGGCAGGTGAAAGGGCAGTGCTTGAGTAACCAGAAGCTTTTGGAACAGTAAGCCTCTGGAACTGGTTGCTTTGATTTGTTTGTCTGCATTTTAGTAATTAACGTTCGGCCAGAAGATTTTAAACTAGGCTTCTGATTAATGAGGTATCCTTGTGCTTTATGGCTTTGATCAGGGAATCTTTCTTTTCCCCCACCTGAATTGGGGGTTGAACCCTGGGCCAGGAAGTAAAGGCTTTTTTTTGGGGGGGGGGAATGCATGATTCTGGGAAATTTATTGTTAATTCTGAAATTTATTGTCTGCTTTAGAAGGAATTCTCTTTAAATCAGTACCTTTTTGTTCTAATAATTCTTGAACTTTTTTTCATTTTAGGGTGCAGATACAAATGGATTACTCACAAAAGGACCAACAGAGGTCTCTGATAAAAAGAAAGACTAGTGTGTTTTTTCTGAAGGCCCCTGGCTGTTTCCAATGGACCTGACAACATGAAGCACCTTCTTTGTCTCTGCCTTTTTCCTCTGAGACCAGGATTCTAGATAAACAGTTTAGCACCTACTTGATACTGATCAGGAAGTACGTGGTATTTATATTTGAAATATGAGTAGTTATATTTAATGACCTCACTTCCTAGTTTCTTTTTCATTAAAGTAGCTTTTATTTCTGTTATTCTGTTTTACTAATATGAATAGAAGGTTTTTGTGAGCAGATACGCAGAACTCCGAGCCCCTGGGCCTTTGCATTTGACTGCTGCTTTCACTGCCTGTGGACTTTCGTAACTTGGGTGGGATGAGTCTTGCTGCAAAACAGTACAGTCCATGATGGGATGAAATGTGGAAGATGTAATTACTGTCAAGCACAGTGGAGAGCAGATACTTAAGAATAGCTATTGCTCCAAGGAAGCTGGAAAAAAAGGAACTAGGTGAAGCTTCTTTGCAAATGTAACAGCAACATCAGTGTCAGTCATGTAAATTCTGATTCTGTACCTGTATTCCTGTAAATTCATTAAACATTCAGTTCAATTTGTTCCGTGTTTCTTTCCGTCTTCCCATATTGGAAAGTAATTTTTGTCCGCTGTTTTGCATTTCAAGACAGTTTCTCTGTGCCGCTTTGCCCCCACTGCCCGCCACCCAGGTGTGCACCACCACTGCCCAGCAGGAAGCAATTTTTTAAAAAAGTCATTGATTTAGGTTTTATTTCATGTGCATGGTGTGATGGTTGCCAGATCCCTCCGAACTGGAGTTACAGTTGTGAGCTGCCATGTGGGTGCTAGGAATTGAACCCGGGTTCTTGGGAAGAGCAGCCAGTGCTTTTAGCCACTGAACCACCTCTCCAGCCCTGGAAAGTAATTTTTTGGTTTGATCAGATTGACAAGCAGAATCTCAGAACTGTGATGCATCTAGACAGATGAACAGAAGTCAGTAGGTCACAGTGAGTGACTTCCGCAGGAGTGGCTAGACTGGCCAGATCTCTCCTAAAGCAAGTGGGGGTCTGGTTGTGGGCTTCACTTGAACTTTAATGAAAAAAGCCGATCCTGTGCCTGAAGCCTGTAATCCCAGCTACTTGGGGGGCTGAGGCAAAAGGATTCAAGGCCACACCTGGCCTTTGCTGCAGAATGAGCTTGAGTCTAACTTAGCCAGATCTTGTGTCAAAATTTTAAAATGCAAAAAGGGTTGGAGATGTAACCCAGTGACAAAGTTCGCTTAACCTGAAGCCCTGGCTACAGTCTACAGCCCTGTACATCCCTCAGTGTAGCAGAGGACAGCCTCAAACCTCCGGTCCTACCACTGCCTATCCATTGATAGGGTTACAGTGTACTATCACACCTGCATTCCCCGCCCCCCCCCCCGATACCCCCTCTTAATCTTTTGAGATAACGTTTCATCACGTAACTCTGATTGGCCTGGGATCCATGATCCTAGCTTAGCCTGTCAAATGCTAACGGAGACGTGAACCTCCATTCCTGGTTTAAAATGAATGCTTGTATTAAATATGCACATCATGGTTCTCATTGCACGTTAGGGTTTCTTTTGTGTTTTTGTTTTTAAATTGGGGTCAGTGGGGTTGGTGTTTTAAAACAAGGTCTATGTACTAGCTACCCTGAAGCTCAGACTAGGCTGGCCTCAAACTCACAAAAGTTCTCTTGCCTCTCTTTCCCAAGTGCTGGGATCAAAGATGTGCACCACTGCACCCAGCCTGTAAATTTTTTTAAAGATTTATTTGTTTATTATGTATACAGTGTACTGTCTGCGTGTCTGCCTGTACACCAGAAGAGGGCACCAGATCTTATAGATGGTTGTGAGCCACTATGTGGTTGCTGGGAATTGAATTCAGAACTTCTGGAAGAGCAACCATTGCAACTCCTTTTGAAGTGGTCTCTGATAGTCCAGCCTGACCTATGTAGGCAAGGATGATCTTGAACTTGATGCTGGTATTACACTTGTATGCCAGCTTGGCCAGCTTACATCAGTTTGAAGTAAAACATTTATTTTTAGTTTGGGGAGGTATTTTATATGTGTATGTTACCTGTGTGCATGTACATCTGTGTATCTGTGGATGTTTGTGAGCTATCACGTGGGTGCTAGGAATTGAACCCATGTCTTTTGTAAGAACAGCAAATGTTCTTAATTATGGAGCTATCTCTCCAGCCCTTAGATAATCTGTAATGCTCTTAGTTGCCCTCATGCCTTTGGTATTTTCATATTTCCAAATATCCCTGCTAGTTTTGAGCTATCAACTTTAGACTGACTTCCTATTGTATTTGAGACCTAACTGTCTTTATTTTATGTGAATGAGTGTTTTGTCTGTGTGTATGTCTGCACCAGCTGTGTGCTTGGTGTAAGCTCAGAAGAGGGTGATGGATTCCCTGGAACTGGAGTTACGGACAGTGGGTCCTGAGAAAAGTACCTGTGTCCTCTTTAACCAGTACCCCATCTCCAGCTCCTAGCTGTTTTACACTATTATATAGCCTTCCAATATTTCTTTTGGTGGGGTTGGTTCATGCTAGAGATTAAACCCAGAACCTTAATCATGCCTAGTACATGTTCTACACTGTGCTTTCAGCCTCCAGTGTTTTTTGGGTTTTGTTTGCTTGTTTGTTTGTTTATTCTTGAGACAGGGTCTCTGGATCCCTGGCTGGCCTGAAACTTATTTTATGGATCAGGCTGGTATCAAACTCACAGATCCATGTGCTTCAGCCTCCTGAGTGCTGAGATTAACGGAGGGCACTATCATGCCTGGTTTCCCAACGCACTTCCTCAAAATATTCATGAAACAGTACTGTCGGTGAGCTTGTTGGATGCGTTCCACCCGCCCTCCAAATTCCTGCTCCTTCATTTCCTTGTCTGCCCACGAAAGCTGTATGAGTTCCATCGCTGCCTTCCAACCCCTCAGTGGTGGAACAGTTCATGAGAACAGTACCGTCGGGGCTCTTGGTTAAGAACGCTTGCTGCTTTTGCAGAAAACCTAAGCTTGGTTCTCAGCACTCACGTTTGGCTCATACCATCAGTGAGTCCAGTTCCTGTGGATCTGATGCCCTCTTCAGACCCCCTTGGACAGCAGGCATGCATGTGGTCCACATACATACATGGAGGCAAAACAATCAGACACATAATTAAGTCTAAGGAAAAATCAGTGCCATCTGTGTCTATATCATGTACCATCAATTTGTCATGTTTTTATTTATCACCTACTTATCACCATCATCTGTCTGTCATCAGGTATCTTTGTCTATATTGACTAGCTACTTAGCTATCATCTATTATCTATCTGTAATATAATTAGGAACACACTATGGCCCTGAATTACATGGTTTCCACCTATCAGTGCCCTTGTGGTAAACTGATTTTAAAGTAAATATAGTTTATAATTCTGAAATATAAGGAGTTTAGGGGTATTGGTTCATGCCTGTAATTTCAGCACTTGGAATCTTGAGGCAGAAGCATCCCTGAGAATGTAAAGCCATCTAGGTTACAGGGTGAAACCCTTGTTTAATCAAAACTAAATTTAAAAAGAAAAGGCACCCAGCATAGACATTTTATCCTCTACACTGGATGGTGTGTGGAAGGCAGTGACAGAAATAGTATACTTGATGAAAAAGAGAATGGGCCCACAAATATTAATGACATTACCAGGAGAATGCAAATTGAATCACATCGAGACCCCACCAGAATAATTAAAATTTAGGATCTACATCTAAGGATATAGAGTTCTTATCTTTTTTTTCTTTCCTTCCTGTCTCTCTCTCCCTTACATGGCTGATGCCTGAAAAGTCCAGAAAAGGTGCCCTGGAAATGAAGTCACAGACATTTGTGAACCACTGTGTCGGTGCTTGGAATTAAACACCAGTACTCTGCAAGAGCAGTCAGTGCTCTTAACTGCTGATCCATCCCCGCAGACCTCCACAGTCCAGATTTATAGGGTACAAGTGGGTACCAGCTGAGCCCAATTGGCCTCTGTTTGGCTGAGCATGAGCTTGCAAATAGGACCAATCATTAAAGAGTGGTCAAATCTGCTGGAGGAGTGCGGAACAGAGGTCCTACCAAAAGTTTCTAGACGTTCAGTCAAATCCTGTTTCTGTCTCTGCCAACATTTGTTAAAAATGATTCCGTTCAGCTGGTTGCTGCAGGCTGCCAGGCACGTTGCTGCTTTCTTCAGTAGTTTTTTGTTGTTGTTTCTTCTCTGGCTTCAGCGGCTGCAAAGCTGTTCTCCGCAGTCCACTTTGGTGGGCTGGATTATCCCAGCTCTATCAGTGCCCATGTCCCCTTAATAGCAATCCCTCCCTCCCTTCTCTCTCCTGTCCTGCTGCTTTGTGAGGTCCTCTCAGGGCTTCTTATCCAGGTGACCTTGCCCCAGCTCCCTTGGGGCATTGGCTGTGTTTGTCACAGACTGGTGTCTTTATGTCATCATCCTCCCATGGTGCCTTGTAAGACACTGCTAAAGGCCTGGGAGTAGAAACAACTGTAATCAATTAGAAATGAGCAGATGCTAACTCACTAAAGTACAGGCACCTAGTCCTATGACATTTTAGTAGTTCTTGGAAAGGCAGCTTCTGTGACCTTGTCAGACACCTAATGACTCCGGGGTAAGAAGTCCTCCAGGAAGCCCTACTCCACTGCTCCACATACAAAAAAGTTCAAAAACCATAGAACAATACAGATAGGTCATACAGCCTGTAGTTCATACTGCTCGCCTCTAGAACATTCATTTTTGCCTAATGAGACTTGCAGCGTCATTATTGAGTAATTAAATCTTTCTGTAAAGCATGACTAGAGAGATGTCTCAGCATTTAAGAGCACTGGCTCCTCTTCCAGAGACCTAGGTTCAATTCCTAGTACCTACATGGTGGTTCATAATTGTCTGTAACTCCAGTTCCGGGGGATCTGACGACTTCTGGTCTTCTGAGGCACCAGACATGCAAACGGGGCACTGACATACATGCAGACAAAAGCTTTTTTAGAAATATTTATTTATTTATTATTTATACAGTATTCTTCCTACATGTGTCCCTGCATGCCAGAAGAAGCACCAGATCTCACTATAGATGGTTGTGAGACACCATGTGGTTGCTGGTAATTGAACTCAGGACCTTTGCAAGAACAGCCAGTGTTCTTAACCTCTGAGCCATCTCTCCAGCCCCCAGACAAAACATTTATATCCATAAAATAAAAATCAGTCTTAAAGCATGAGAGTGGGGAGCTGTCCCTGCCCCTCACTGGCTGCAGTGCTCAGGAGAGTGGTCCCCGTACCTCTCCTGGGCAGCACAGTAGAGCTGGCTCTGGGGCCGCAGGTGAGCCATCCCTGAGGTCTTGAGAGCAGGAGAGGTAATTCTGCCTCTTGCTAGCTGTGGCATTGGGTGAGCTACTTAGGGCAGTGCTGGAGAGCTCGACCTGGTGGTGGGGATTTGGGAGAGCTGGTGGGCTGATGAGCTCAGTTACCGCCTAGGCCGGATCCACGGCTTTGAGTTGGCCCACCCCAATATCTTACCCCATCAATGAACTGCTGGAGCACATGAAGCAGCTAG